GTCTACTAAAATTCACTGAAAAAAATTCAATCAGAATGAAAATTTTATTTTACTTTTTTTTTGTTAATGTAAGCTTAAGAGTTTGTTTCTATTTTAAATTATGTTAATTGTAAACAACTATTTTAATAATAACAAAAGTAATATTGACAACAAGTGAAACATGATTTTTTTTCTTCAAGCATAATATTCAATCAACTATAAAATTTCAGACAATTAAAAGCTATTATCGTATTTCGAAGATTTATACTCTATCTAGGATGGTATTTTATTAAAAAGCTCTTTTTTTAATTCATGATTGTGAGTCTTGTTGCGATATGTACGTATATTGAAAACACTTTTTATGTTATGAATTAATGGAATCTTATGGATTAGTGCAGGACAAAAGTTTTGTCCTTATTGAAATGAATATTTTATTTTATTTTGACATATTAAGGCTCAAGTGCAACATATCTATATACAATGGCATTAACGACATTTACTATTTACATAGGCTTTTGTTTAAATGTCTGATTCTTCTTTGAACAAAGTGAAAATATGTCAAATATACTTATAAACAAGTAAAAAAGGCAAGGCTTTCACTTTGACCTGCCATATTTTTGAGACTTACAATAATGGAAAAATTTCACAAAAGTGTTGTAGAAATTTCGAAGACACTATGGAAAACGAAAGAAGTACCAAAGTACAAAACAAATCAGATAAATTCAGAAAAAGCAAAGAAATTTGACGAAAACTTGTAAAAATTCTCAAATGCTCAACCAATTGAGGAAAAGTGGCGAAAATTCAAAAACAGTCGAGAAAATTGTGAGAGTTTTTTGAAGTCAGGTAGGCCATCGTGAAAGCCCTGAAATTAGAACAAAATTGTGCAGAATTCATGAATATTCTGAAGTAGATTTCAGAGTAGGAAAATTTCAAGATCTGTTCTTTTTCTGTCGTCTAACGATATTGTTCATATATCTCTACTTTGCTCAAAGATGACGTAAACAACTAAACAAACGCGATATACATGGTAGATGCATTCGAACTCTATATGTCAAAATAAAATATTCATTTCAATAAGGGTGAAAATTCTGTCGTACACTGGATGTGTTACTTTTGGTGTTTATGTAAAGGATTATGCACAAAAAAATCAGAAAATATTTCAGAAGAATATGAGTTTGTTATTCTCGCAAATTAATTATCATTCTCTTCGGTAAATTCTATCCGGTTGAAAATCAAACAAAAATGCTTCTTCAAAAACATTTTTCATTGATAATGCAGGTTTTTAATCAAATGATTTCATCAGCGATATATGAATCACAATAATTTAAAAGCAACATATCTGTCTACCTGAATAAAACATATAATTTTGAATATAAGATTATCGAATACGACACATTTGTCTAAACGCATGAATGACGCTCACACCGAACGAACACATTTAGATAAATGAAGACGATTGGCTTTTTATTTTTTTTTCGTTTATATCGAGTATGATTTTGTATACATGATTATTTTATTCAGCAATATTCTATATGAATCGTTGGTTATCAACATATTTATATTGATTTGGTTCGAAAAAATTTTCATTTTTATTTTCATTTTTATTTAAAATACTACATGTGTTTACGTTCTCTCAAATTCCTTTCTTAATTGTTTGGGCATGATTTGGTTATATAAAGGTTAGTTTATTTTTAAGATATTCAATAACTAAACATTCGTCTATGAAGAGTATGCATGTGTCGTTGTGGACACTTCAAAAAAAAAAATTTTTTTTTCTACGCATTTTGGTCTATTGCAGGAGTAACGTTTTCGTTCGTAGTAAATTTATTTCTAAAAAATTTGCATACACTTTACAGAATATGTATATTTTAAACAAAATAAACTTTTCATACTGTCTTTAATATTTAGATTTGTCTGATCATCAAAGGCAAGCTTTGTTTTTAATGAAAAGAATAATGTGTAGCCTAGTTAAATGTTAGTCAGTGTGAAAAGAATATCAATCTTTAAATATGAAGTATTGATTTTGACTGAAAAAAAAAGAATGAAGCTTCGAGTTAGTTCAAAATGAGAATTCACAAGAGTTTTGTGAAAGAACCATTGAGAGATCTTTAATCTAGGACAATTTATCGTTTATTGATAAAGGCACTCGGAAGAAACTCACAAAAAAGAACACAATGGAACGATTCTAATTATTTTGATAAACGGATCAGTTGACTTTTATGAAAATATTTATTCCGATAACTTATGATGTAAAGCAAAACAAAAATCTAAGACAACACAATGAATTGTTATTTTCTTTCAATACTTATGATCTTAATATTAAATGAAATCTCTGGTGAAATATGCTAATATTAATGAGATTTCTGCATAACTTTGTTCACTAAGACATATTATATAGGTTACAGGCTAGTCAAATGATTATTTCTGTTTTAGTCAGTCACACAAGGTTATCAATAAACTCAAAAATCTTATTATTGTTTTCATCACCAAGAAATTGTAAAGTCAATCATACTGGAAATTTTCCGAAATGTGAATAAGTCTTTTAAAATCTTCGTCTGGTTCTTACTGTAGCACTTTTCAACAACAATTGATCATTTCATTTTTATTCATAATGATTGACATCACAAAGGAAAACTTGCCAAATTTAACACATCAAGACAATGTTTATTTACCGGCAAACTTCGATTTGTTTCAGTTGTCTCAGCAGACTTAAAAATCCAATGACATTGGACAATGTTGTATTATTTACAATAATATTTGTCTTGTAAAACAAAACAAATTTCTGCGAATTATGTGTGATTTTACTATATTTTGTATCAAAATATTAATAATAAATTGTATTTCATTATAAAAAGTTCATTTGCTTTTCAATACGCTACATGTTAAAATTCATATTCGAACCCAGTTGATTTTCTCTATCTATTAAATATATGTATTATCCTGATCACTGATATTAATCATTTCTCTATTTAATAAAATAATTAGTTGAAAAATTATGATAATTGAATTTTAGCTTTTTAAATTTTGACAAACTGAGAATTTGGCGAATAAAAATTGTTTTAAAAGGACAGATTAGAAATCTTATTGGTTTAAATTAGTTTGTGCAAGTATAAATTTATTTATGACCTAAACGATTCAAATGAATAAAAATAATTCGAAAGGCAAACTTTTAGTAAATATATTTTTTTTGTAAAGGTTATATACTGAAAAGGCATGATTTATTATGTCTTTGTACGAATTTATTTACTGTGAAGATAGGTATTCATTATGACGATGAATTTTCTGTGTAATGAATACAATTTGTAAAAGTTTCATAAAATGTCAACTTATTTATTTCTATTTCTATTTCACATAAAAGTTGAAATATTTATTATATTTAATAATCAAGACCTATTCCAGCTGTTTTCTTTTCACACATTTCTTTTAATGTACTGAAATCTTTCTACGTACTATCTTTTCAAATATAATGTCGAAAGTGCGTATAATCATCTTCAATTTCCAGTCCGTTAATCAATACTCAACTCGATTTAGACCTCTGATCCGAGTACAAGGTCCGTCATATCGAGTCAATATTCAAGCAGAAACGAAATTCTTGGATGTAGTATAGATGTATATATCACCCTAATCAATATTTATCTCAATGATTTCATTATGTTTAGTATTAGCATTGCATTTAAATCAAGCATCATCAGGAACAAAAGCAAATATATGCAGTAAAACTGGATGAACTTTAGAATCGGAAATATAGCAGTTGAATTGTAAACTTCTTAGCACATTTAGTTCCTAATGCAACGTTGCATAATCTTGTTCTTTTGTTGTTCACCTGTATATTTTTTATATATAAATGCAAATTGAATAATATTTAGAAACAAACTATGGCTGTAAAATATTTGGCAGATGCTAGATATTACTGGTTGTGTGTCGAGATCGAATATGAACAGATGTATGAAATCAGTAAGAAAATCCGCTACTTGATTGTTCAGTCAATTTCTAACATGTGATCTTTGTTCTTGAAATTTTTATAATTGTAAAAAGCCTATCTTTCTATCACTCATCATTCATTCAAAATCTACCTGAAATTTTGATGAAAATTATTTTTGTCTTTTTTTTCTTGTTCTTAACTAATCTTGAGTTGATAGTTGTATATTCTAAGTCACACTTAATATAATAAATGACGATCTACTTGTGAACTTACCTCAAAGAATTTGATCATTGTTTTATATTCCATCATTCAATTGAACCATAATAAAGCATAACTATTCTCGAATGGATATGAACCATTGAGCATCGTGTTAAACGGTCAAGTCAATAAAGTTATAATGTCGTATCTACTAAGAAACTTGTTGTTTGGATAAGCATGAACGATCATCCAGTAGAATCGGAACACACTTGAAAATGTATCTTCGTATTACTTCATTACTAGTCGTGCCTTCAATAAACATTATCGAAACAATTTTTATCAAACAATAATATGATGATTTCTTTTTTTTGAATAAATCTTCGAAAATCATTTTTGTCTTACTGATTATTCTTTACTTTTGATATTAATATATATATATATTGCAAAAGTTATTTCATAGAAAAAATCTTAAATTATTTATAGAGCAACTGATTCAAATCAATATTTTATTCATCTATTAACTCTATTGGCGATGTATAAGATTAAAAAAATGCTTCCATCCATTTGATAAACGAATTAATTAATGCTGATTTTTACCTAAAGTCTCAATTTAAACTGTCGATTGATTTTCTTTTGCTGTTACATAAATAGTTCATTAAGAAACTCATAACCACAACTGTTAACTAACTGTCGTGAATTACGATCATTGTGTCTTGCTACAAAAATTTTACCCGACAAACGAATGATGTCACTGATGTCTAGTGTTACAATATAAAAATGTAATGATTCGTTGAATTTAATCTCTTGTTGATTTTGAGGGCAACTTCTTTTTTTTTCTTTCTTTTTATATTGTATACTATCCGATCGAAGGACACGTTATTCGAACAGCATACAGAACAATATGAGTGAAGATATTCAAACAAGTAATGAAGGTCAGGTACCAGTAGATGTTCATCAAGCCTTATTACGTGATGGAACCGATGTTCAAACAAAAGTTGGTCATGTTGCTAAATTTAATCATGATGGAGAAAGTAGTAAACTTGATGAAAATATTGTTGTAGAGAGTTTCGATAATTATAAAAAACCAAAAGATAATAATGAATTTATTGCATTAACTAAAGAGGTATTTTGAAAGAAAGTTATTTATTTAAGTAATGCAAGTTATTAATTTTTTTTTTTTACAAAGGAATTAAAAGCATATATAAATAGTCCAAAATGGAAACGTATTCGTTGGTTAATTGCCATTTTATATATCTTATTACTTGTTTTACTTCTTATTGGGTCTATTCTTTTGGTTATATTTTCTCCAAAGTGTCCACCAAAACCAAAACTTGCTTGGTATCAAAAAGAAATTATTTATGAAATCGATGTCAAGACATTTCGTGATTCTAATCAAGATGGAATTGGAGATATTAAAGGTTTTTATTTTTTTTTGTACAGAAGGAAAAACAAAACAACATTAATTTATTGTGTCTTATAGGTGTTCAAGAAAAATTAGATTATTTAGAAAAAAATGATATAAAAGTAATTCTTTTACAATCCTCAATATTCAATTTAACATCTGGAACATCAAATCAATTAAATGAACGAAATAGCGGTGTTAAGAATATTGATTTATATAATATTGATTCATCAGTTGGAAGTGATAATGATTTAAAAGAATTAGCAAAAAATCTTTATCGAAGAGGTAAATTGTATATTTAATTATTTTTCGTTTTATTTAAGGTGTTAAGAATTCAAAATTTGAGCAAAATTTTTTTTTTTTTGTCAAAGTCACTGAATTATTTATAAACATAATTTTTCTTCTAATTTTATTCTTTATACAACAGGGAAAACAATTATGCAATTTTTGTGTTGAAAAATATTGTTCGATTATTGAGAAAATCGATTGTTTTGATATCATATCAAATCACTATAAATATAATGTTTGTTGTATCCTAAGTTTTTAACTATCAGAAATTTACTAGTGAAAAGAATAAAGAGGCAATTCAGAATCAGTATCGATTAGTATATTCAATAATCAAAACTAATTTTCATTCAATATCGGTTCATACACTATAAGTCGACAGTTTCGTTTCGATTTCCTAAATATCGTATGAACAGATAGAAAAGAAAATTTTAAACCTATTTTGAAAAATTTTCACTATTCCATCGTTCAGATTAAAGACGTTCCATATTTCAGTACTTTAACAAAACATTATAATACATTCTATCTTATATTCTATAAGCTATTTTCAAATATTCTGATTTGTGCTCCTCCTAAGGTCAAAATTTGATGATAGTTAGTTTGAGTATATCATTTTATGCTAATTCTGAATACAATATTCGTTTCGTTTTTTAATTGAATTTCTAATCGTCAAAATCCTTAGAATACAAACGTCATATGTATGACAATTTGCTATCATATCGAAAAAAAAAAATTGATTTTCTCTATGATCAATAGAAAAGTTCGCATAACTATAGAGATGATTGAAACTTTATGTTTGTGATATATTTCAATGTTCAAATTTCGACTTGCTGATATCTTATATATATTTTTTTAAAATTAGCTATGTATTTAATTGTTGATTTACCATTATCATCAACATTTGATCTCAATAGTTATTTATGGTATGGATCTAATTCGTCAGTTCGCACTAAAATAAATGTAAATAAATATTTTCAAATTAAAAAAAGAAAAAAAAAGAAATCCATAAATCTAACTATTTAGACTACATGCAAGGGAACTTCTAATAATCTTGCTTGTCGTTATTATAAAACATATGGTCGATTACCACTGAATTTTACTGATAAAAATATACAAGAACAATCAATCGTATAATTTTATTATTAAAGAAAAAGTTTTTTTTTTTTTGTTTTTTCAAATAAATACTTTTTTTTAGGCTACTCTTCGTCATTGGTTATCAGTAAACAAATTTGATGGTGTACGAGTGGATCTTCCACTTGATTTTAATTCTAGTACAAATTCATATGAAATATCTTATGAAACAATTAATAAATGGACTAGTACTAAAAATGAAATTGAAAAAAATACAAAACCGAAGTAAATTGATTTTCATTTAAAAGAAAAAAACTGTTCTTTTAACAATTTATATTTAAAGATTACTATTATTTGATATTCCATTTGGTTTACAAGATATTATTGAAGATGATAATTTACATAATCAAACAGCACACACATTATTTTTATTTAATAATGAACATAGATCTCCAATTAATGCTCACTCATTAGATCAAAGAATACAATCATTTGAAACAAATCGTTTATCAAAACCACAATTTTGGCAGGTTAGATTAGAAATATTCTTGTTTTTATTTTTATTTTTTTACAAGAATAAAATTTTTAGTTGGGATCAAAACGAAAAAGTGATGATATTGGTCTTATTCATGAAAATCAATTATCAAGAGAAATTGTTTTGACTATGATTATGTTATTTGGTGGAACACCAGTTGTACTTTATGGAGAAGAAATTGGTCTTGATCAAGTGAGAAGAAAACTGCAAATTGAATTTTTTGTTAAACACGATTTAAAAAGAATGTTGAAGTATAGGCGTAAAAATATGGATTCACCATCACAGAAGTTATTGACATACGGTTAATAATCATATATCGATTGTATTAAATGAATTCAGTAGGATTTTTTTTTCGACCAAACCGGCTGGTTGAAATTTTTATCTAAACCGGCAAAAAAAATCGATACACTTTAGATATCAATTAAGCACGTAATTCTTTCGAATGTAAAAATCATATATATAACCCTTAGAGTTTCTAATAGATTTTAGTCTGTAATGTTTCATATGTACTAAAAGGAAGATTTGTTTTTTCAAAACACTCAATCTAGTAATGTATAGTAATTAATATCTACACAAAACTTTGGCTGACGTTTTTCAATAGTGATATGATTTATTTATAATTAATCAGTTTCATTTATTCTAATTTCAACTCATCAAAGAATACTGTTATTGACAGAAAACAAACGTATGGTTTTTATGTTAGACTTCCTATTAAATGGTTTATTAATATCTAAATATTTTTACAATCGCAAGATCTTGATTGCGAAACGAAATATTTCTAAATAATTGATTCAGAAAAATGGGCTCAAAATTTCATTTTGAAAGATATTTTGTTTACATGAAAATTAACTACTAATGTCTGACTAACTTTTCATGAGCATAATAAATTCATTCAGCATGATCTGACATTCTCATCATATGATAAGAAGATGTTAGCTTAAGGTTTAGAGATAAAATATTGATAATGACATGAAATTTGTTAATTAAAAACTTTCATAAACATATCTCTTAATCATTAAAGCCATGAAAATCATTTAAAAGTGATAAAACAGATCAGCTTTAGTACCGGAAAAAAAACAGTCGATTTTAAGAGTTCAATCAGATCGGTCGGGTTTCAAGTTTGATATGAACTACTTGTTTATTTTATTTCTGAAGAAGATGGTGTACAAATGTGTTCCAAAAGAGATAGAATCAAATAGTTTCTCTGTGATTAACAACAGAAACTACATCGTGTTTCACATTTTAAATTCACACGAATCGTGCTAATAGATTATTTTTGTAAAATGAGACATGTATTTTAGAAATCGTTTCCTTTAATGTCATGGACATCTGATGGAGCTTACGGAGGATTTTCTGCATGTTCATCAGTTAATTGTAGCCGTGTTTTATTACCATATCAAATTGGTGTTCCACCAACAAGTGTTAAAGTAATTTATAATATTAAATATAAAATCAGAAAATTAAAAACAAACAACAAACTTTTTTTTTAGCGTCAAGAAGCATTAGGTGGTGAAGCAAAAGATTCATTATTAAATCTTTTTCGTCGTTTATCAAAATTACGTCGACATGAATCATTTCAATTTGGTTTATTGGAATCAGGTTATGATGTCAAAGAAAATATATTTTGGTTCATTAGAGAAGCATCCGGTTATCGAGGATATGTTGTAAGATTTTTATTTAAAATAAATTTTTTACATTGTAAACTAATTTATTTTCTCTTTGAAAAGACTGTTTTCAATTTAAATAAAAATGACAATCACACAGCACACATATCATTATATGAATTAACAAAACGTGATGTACCGTTACATATTCATTATGAATATCAATGGCCAAAAGCTCATTTATCAACACCTGATAAAACTCATATTGATTCAGATAATTTATTTATTCATCCTCAATCAATTAGTATATTTTGGTGGATACCAAAACTTGTTAAACCAAATATTTTATTCAAAACGGCAAAAGAACATTCACATAATCAATAATTATTTCATATTTTTAATCATTTGGACAGTAGTTATAGTTGTATTAATAGACACCAGTTTTAGTTTTTATCTAAGTAATTTGCCTATCTGTTTGTGCTTTATTTAGTTTAACATTCTTTACTTATCTTTCAAATAGAATATAGAAAATTTTATCACAAATGCATCAAATATTTTATCATGAAAGCATTTCAAATAGAAAAGAATTCAATTTGTACTTATTTTAAACAAGATAAAACTCTAAATCAATTTTCGCCTTTGACATTTCAATCGTTTGTACAAGTAACCTTTAGATATGTTTATTTTTCAAGATTTTCAACTAGAAAATGTACATACTCATTCAAATAAATATGGGATAAAGAAGGCGACATCATCTCTAGAGATTGATCTTTTTTGTCGTGTTTGAAAAATTGCTATTCGTCTATTTGTCTCCTGTTAAGTTTCAAATCATTTAAAACGAATAGAAAGTCAAGATAAAACACTGATTTCAATGTTATATTGAAAAAAAAAATGAGATTAATAATTAACTTATTACAACTCTGCATTAAGATGTTAAATCAGTTTAGAAAGTTTTGCATTTCGATCATAATTAAATTAAGTAACGTATTTCAACAAAATAATACAATAATTGTTCGAGACAAAAAAATAAATCAAAGTTTTCTCGAATATGATAAAAAATATTTTTATTTTAACTAAAGCTATAGGCTAAGAAAATGGCTCCAGATATCTCTAATTATACGTGTTTAATTTTATATAATGAATTATCATGCAAAATAAAATTTATGAACTATACAATAAATTTCTTTGTATTTAAATTGAATCTTCAGTAACTTTTTTTTTTTCTTGGAAAAAATTATTCGAATAATTACAAAATAATTTTTTGAACAAGATTTGTGATTCTAAAATATTCATTTCGATCTACTTTATCTATTGATTTTCTTATAATTATTTTAGATAAAAAAAAAACAAAAATCTTCGATTTAATTATCAAAATTAAATCCAAAGAAATATTGGATTAATTTATTTCTTCCAGTTGTTAGAATCTCGTAATTTTCATCTTTTAATTTCAAATTATCTAATAAATCTATCATTATTTTTTTTGTTTAGATAAATGACCGAAGAAAACATTGATGAAGATGTTCTCTATGTTATTCATCATTTAGTTGAACAACTTGATAATGAAAATGAATATGAATCAGATGTTCATATATGTGATGATTGTTCAATAATTGATTCTTCTGTGAAACGTCAAATTCGTCCTGAACGTGAATCAACAACAAATTCAAATATTGATTTATATTTATGTGATAATTGTGCTCAAAAACGTCATGATGATGCACAAAGAGTCTTACAAGATTTAGAACATTTAGCACATGAAGTTGAACAACGTTTACAAGCAATTGAAAATACTGAAAGAGAATTAGATCAATGGCGAGATGCACAATTACAAAAAAATCGAGATTTTTGGGATGGTACAGTATTATTTTTCATTTAACAAAATATAGAAAAATTCTGCTTTTTTTTTTTTTTTTTTTTTTTTTTTTTTCTTATTGTTATAGAATATCGTCGTCAAGTTGAAAATTTTTCAGCATGTCGTATTCGTACACTTCAATATGAATATACAATGCGACAATTAAAAACTCAACGAATAATGAAACGTCTAAAATGTGCCAAATATATAGCTGAAAATATTGATCAATTACGTGAACAATTACATGATTTACTTCAACCATCATTAATTGATTTACTTTCATCGGATCAATTCAAAACGCAATTTTCTTTATTTTTATCACCTAATGATGAGAATGAAAATTCAACGACAACATTTGATCATCGTCGAGAACTTTATCAACAACTTGAACAATTAACTTGTTTAGATAAAGTTATTGTACCTGGAGATGATATTGCCATTGATGATGAAATTAGAGATGAAGTTGATGAATGAATCTTTTTTTTTTCATTCAAAGTTTATCAAATAGACAGTGTTTATTTGTTTCAATTATTTATATAAAATATTCGCGAATACAAATTTTTTTATAAAACAACTTTTAAATCAATGAACTTCTTTTGATAAAATTTGATGTTGTCAATTAAACAGCCCAATCTGCAGGAAGGTTTTCATTATTGACCGCTACATTATTTTGTGAAGAATAGTTAAGAGCACTGAAAAATTTGTGATCAATACGAGCTCTTCATAGACTTCGTCGATTTACTATTGCTTTCTATCTCAACTTTGTGAAATAAAACTCACTGAGTTCACTCTAAATCTATATACAATTGGATTTGGATTCGAGTTTAAGAAAATTTTGGATCCATTTGAGAAGTAACTCGTCTCACAATAAGATTTACCATTTAGAATGATTCATTTGGGTTGAAATTTTCAGAAAATGAGTGACTCTAGTGAAAAAACCCTTCTAGTAAAAATTTCAACCTAATACGTCAAACTAGACTGAACTTCCGGCTTATTTATGACCTTTAGCGCAATCCATGTAACTATGTCATTACAAGATCTCCATGGCTTGGAATATTTTTAAATGAAAGTTAATTACTGTGGACAGTTTTTGTCCAAGTACAATTTTACAATTCGTTTCCATTGACTTTTTATGATTATTTTAATACATATGATATTAAAAGAAGGAAAGAAAAATGTCATCTCACGACGCTAAATCTCGCTTTTTTCAACATAGAAATCAACTATGAAAAATATGATCGGACAAAAGTTTACTCTCCTTTAGATCTTTGAAACAAAAAAAAACACATTTGTTATATGTCAAAGCAGGTGGCAGGAGTTTCGCCTTTTTTGATTGAAAGTTTTCATTCAAATCCAAAAAAAAAGAAAAAAATGTATTAAAATGGAATTTTTACAAGCCCATAATAGAAAACGTAAGTTGGCGCCATTTGTTGTTCTCAAGTTATATAAGAATGTTTATTCAATGTTGATGCAAACAAAAATGAAGTGTTGCCAAAACTACAAACCTAGGAAAATTTCTTAAAAAAACATGATAGTAAGGTCGAAGTTTCTTTTGAAAGTCTGCTAAAACTTGACCTTTTTTCGAAAGGTCATGTATATTCTGAAAGAGAAAAGCCCACTGCATCTTCCAATAATAGTTCCTCCATTTCGTCTTTTTTTCGAAAAAAAATAGATTTTCTGAGTAGAGAAAGCCTTGAGAATTTGAATCTAGTTTTCTTTTTATAATTCTAGTTCATTTTATTTATAAAGAAAGAATAGCTCTCTGATTTACTGTAATATCTGCATTTACTTATTCAAATCAATACGAGCATGGAGCCTATCATTTCCATTATGAATTGAGGTTGAACGAACTTCATTCCCAAAATGTTTTAAGTTTTAATGCATAAACTGTTACATTAGATCTTCAATCAGAAAAATATTCGACAGTTAATTCATGAACATTAAATGTGTGAGCCTTTTTTTTTACGACGAACTTCTTGCTGAGCATATATTTTTTTTTCGAAATAATAATTCATCAGTACGAAACAAACCCTAGTTTCTATTTAGACTCAATTACTTAGACATTATTTTCGACATTTTGATGGTTTGATTTAGTGAGACAGGTAATGATTCTTTTTTATGAATGATTTGGATAGTAAACATCGTTCATGAATCATGATAAATAAGTATTTCATTAATATGATTTGATGTATAAATACTTTTTTTTTTCTGTATAATATTTTTTAATACGAGTATAGACTCGTATATATATATGAATCATGGTACATTTCATGATTTTTTTCTTTCACAAGTCAGTGATTCGCCCATGTGAAAATATAATAGATTTAAAAAACTTTATCTCAATATTTAATGGTTACTACAAAAAAAAAACAACGTGCTCGTCGTTTGATTTCAAGGTATTATCGAATAATGATGTCGATAGATATGATATTTATCAAATGTCATGCATAAGACATATTTACCTTTGTATGTATATTTACCTGCATGCAGCGAACCATTGTTTCTTAATCGTATGTAGTTATTTTCTTACATTTATATTCTTATGCACCATATAAGGTTAGTTTGAAAATGGAATTTTCATTAGATTCTTTTCCACCGGAAATTTTACACATGATATTCAAATATCTTTGGGCAAATGAAATTTTTCACTCATTATTTAATTTAAATCATAAAATGAATTCTGTTCTATATAGTTATAATAATTATTATATAGATTTTCGCAATGTACATAAGAAAACTTATGATCGTTTATTAACGAATTTAAAAGATCAAATAAAATGTTTAGTTATTTCAAATGGCTATTCAGTTCCTTATTTTGCACATGTTAGAAATTTTTTAGAACAACATGATCTATCTGCATTTACTCGACTTGAAAAACTTTCACTTATTGATATTGATGAAGAATATTTTCTTGATATATTACCAAATATATATAAATTTAGTCAGTTAAAATGTCTGAAATTGGATAGACTTCCATCATATATAGGTTTAAGATTTAAAAATATTTTATCACGATTAAATCGATTGGATTTACCCGATGCAGTCTTTTTTGATCAATTAGCCGAAGAACATACTCAAAATTTAAAATGTTTATCTGTTGTTTATTGTACATTTGAACAATTAAAAAATATATTTAATATTGTACCACAAAGAAAATTTCAAGCGTTTGCTTTAACACATGGAACTCTCTCAACTATGGAAGATAATTCTTGGCCAAAATTTGCTCGACTACCCCATAAAATTAAACGGCTTAATTTACAAATTGACTGTAAGTTTACTTATTTTATAACTGATGAAATCTAAATAGGAATCTATAAGATAGTTCTGTTTCTTAGGTCTTTTTTTAACCAGCTGATCTTATAGAAATTTTTTGGTAAGATTTCAATTTGACATTTTTTATATTTTATGTAGAAAAATATTTTTTTTTTATTAAAAAAGTTGTATATATGAATTGAGCATCGTTTGATAGTTTCAAAAGAAAAAGTCAAAACATATCTGTATCATTTTTAAAACCGAAACATTTTAAAGTAAAACTGTTCAAATCTATCCCTAAAAGTAAAACACTTCAATTTAACCTTTCAAATAAAAAAAGATGATGATGAAGGGAATTATTTTGATAATTCGAATTGTATTGTTTTCAAAAAAGAATTCAAAGAAAAATAACAGAAAATAATTTGTTTGCTCTTTTTTTGTTTTAGTTCAATCTATAACATTAAATAATTTAAAACAACTACTATCACAATTGCCTCGTTTAACTCATTTAGATATAAAAGGTGAAGGTGATACTGATTTAGCTAATGGTCAACAATGGGAAGATTTTTTACATAAAACTTATGGAAATCAATTAATTGAATTTGATTTCTGTTTTACAATTTGGTCTTATATGGACATGGATACAATTCAAATTCTAAAACAATTTTCTCGTCCATATTGGCTAAATCGCATTCGTCCATGGTACGTTTCATACAATGGTCGTGGTCTAATTTATACAGTTCCACGTTATACACCAACATGTGCTAGATCAGATTCTATTTTAAAATATCAGACAACAACAAAGGATAAAAAACTCTTTTCAAATACAATCAATCAATTAATAATTCATAATCCAACAATAATTCCTGAATATTGTTTTAATTATGTTGATTTTTTACAAATTAGTAATGATGCTTTTGATTCAACAAATGATAATATATCATCAATTGTTAATTTATCACGAATAAAACAATTAGAAATTTCTAGAACAATTCCACATTGTTTACTTAATCGTATGTCTAATTTATATCATTTATCATTAATCAATATAAATTCTTTAGTATTAAGTTTACATCAAGTTGCTTGGGATTCAAAATTTGAACAAATTCGTATTCTTGATATAATTTATAATCCAAGAGATCATCGTTATACAGATGTTCGACCAGAATCATTATGTCAAATGTTTCCAAATATTATTCGATTATCAATGACTGGAATTCGTATACGTCGAGCTTATATGAATCGAATTATTGATAAATTTGGAAAAATGACTTATGGAAAATTTCAAGTTAATTGGAACAACGAACAAAAAGAGAGAGCAGGAAAAGATCTTCAAAGAGAAACTTGTAGATTAATATCAAATAATGATGAAACAAATTTTTGTTTTCATTTTGAATATGTTTATCTACATTTATTTATTTGGGATACAGCACAATAAAACATTTAATTATTTTTTGAAGAACTTTTTATATTCATCGTCTTATCGATTTCTGATGCATCTTTATATAATATTTTCCATATTGATAACCTCTATTTAGTGCTAACAAATCTGTTTTTTTTACAGATGTCTTTGAGTTACGTTTCATAGTGAACTTTATAAATTCAAAAAATTTTATTAGCTTTCAGCAAACATCGTTAGACGTCGAAAAACTTGATTAGACTTCAAGAATCATAGGATCTGCTATTTTTCTCTTGATACTTGTCCATATAAGTTCAAGTGATAAGCTGAAAAGATTTTTTTTCTGTTATTTAACAGTTCGACAATTTACATCTTTAAATTTTTTTTTTGTATTTGATACTATAGTATGTTTACAGGTGATTGTAAGGAGCATGTATAGAATACTGAGGCTAGAATATTAAGATGTAGATTCTATGAGTGTAATACTAAAAATTCTTAGTGATATTATAGTGTACACATGGAATTGTTAACAGATCCCCTAACTATAGACTTGGAGCAATAGTTATTGCTAAAAACAAGTTTCAGAGAAAATTTGATGGCAATTATGCAAAATATTTTATCTTTATGAGTCAAAAGGACTAAGGTATTTTTCTATATTGCATAAAAAAATTTAGAGTCACATGAATGAATCAAAGTTTTGAACAGTTGTTCTGTATCGAAGATGATTGGTCAAAACCTCACTATCGACTCTCAAGATATGAAGATCTTTGCGGTCTACGAAGGAATATGTTTATATGATGATCATTCAGTGGATTTTCATAGA